GAAAATGTTGCCTAACAAGATTATCAGCAATTCTTGTGATATCACTAACTCTAGGGAGTGGCAACGTCATTAACCACGTACAGTATCTGGTCGCCTGAAGTTCATCTGAAATCGTATCTCCTGCCTTGGCTTCTAATGCTCAACTATCAAAATTAAAGTTTCAAGTTTGCTTGCTTCTCTTATTTCAAGTTGAGACATTTCATTTTGAAGATTTAAAAAGGTATATTAAGGAATAGAATATAGATAATACGGTCCAACATACCAGCAATATATTTTTAACATTTTAACATTTACCTTCGATTTTCACCTGTTGTTGAGTTATTTCGTCTTCTGCTGGCGCTCCCGAAGTATGTTTACAAAGATGGCGCGCAACCTGAACCCTAATCTGGTACGTACACATATTTAATTCAGGTTGGGCGCCATCTTGGTGCACATACTTCGAGAGCCTCCTTCTGCTTCAGAATCATCATCACTTGCTGAAGTGTGATGTATTACGTTTGTTAAATTTCCATTCATTGAAAAGAAAGTTGATTTACTTTGTAGATAAGACTGTGAAATCGATTAAAAATCCACTATAATAGTGAGGCCACCGGGACATAATGCTACCTCGGTAATAACATTTTTTTAATTTCGAAAAAACATCACTCTTTTTTAGGGTTTTCCCTTTTATCAATTCCAAAAAATATCTGTTTTTAAAATATGATCTTGTTTCAAATCATTTTTCTAGTATCTTTTGTATTTTTTGTTGAAATAATTCATGCATCGCCGTAAAACTACGCTAAAATCATGCCTTCTGGCAGCTTCACACGCTGTTGAAATATTAATTTCAAAAATGTAAAAAAAAATCTTGCTTTGACTTTCACTTTCATAGTCATGTTAGTAGCCTACACATGCATTAAATTAATAAGATTGAAACAGAAATGATATCAGGGAGACAATTTGAGTAAAAAAAGGCAAGAAAAATCATAAAACATATAGCTGAAGTGTCTACTACAATCCAAAAGCAGTTATATCAGCCGACTCATTGCCTAAACTTGGCAAAACAAGTGCGTTTTAATACAATATTGCAAATAATACTTAGATCAGCGGCAACTTACGTAGGTTAGAATCAGAGCCGGATTATGGCGATGAGACAGACACCCTGGGAAAATGGTGGGCAAGGTGTTTGAACCAATTATTATAAAGAAATATATTATAATTCACACAAATCAATGCATTTGTCAATATAAGCAGGATAAAATTTGTTGAACAAATAGTTCTATCTGTCAAAATATAAATCTTTAATAGAGTCTCTGACACAAAACTAGCACATTTCATGGATAACCGCGAATGCAACAGTTCAATAACATTTGTAACTGTTAATCGCACATATTCGGTTAACAGTTTTGACTTGTCTTACTATTTAAATTTTGAATCCTCTGCGATTAGTAGAGTAGCTTTTTTCATTCTAACAGTACAATTAATCATAGAAAGATTCACCATGGACTGAAAAATACATGATGGCATTAATACAGTGCTGTTGAGATAGCAAAAGAACTTAATGAAAAGTAACTTTGGAATGTAAACACATTTTCGTTCCTTTGAAGGAAATCCTCATATACCTATCACGACTGAAAAGCAAGATGTAAAGACAATCAGCCTCGTCTTGAATGTAGACAACAGTGGGGCTGGATTACCTCAGCGAAAATAGTCTATTCAACGAATTTTTACCGATAGGTGTAAAAGTTGGTTGTTCGAAAATATGACATCTTTTACTTAGTATTGCATCATTGTTGGTAACCGTGTGTTTTGGGGTACATAAGTGTGATGAAAAGACGAAAATACATATTTTCCATTTTCTAGGACTTACCAAACCTTTGTCATTCAGCATAATATTTGTACATATGTGGTTTACAGTTTAAAGTAGCTGTTCGCTGTTTTCTCGTAATTAATAAATTGTTGGTGCCGAGGAAGACTAATGACCCTGTGGTTGTGCAATTAAATTGTACATTGTTCAATATTTGTTATAGCATTCTATGAATATTCTCGCGTTCGCATATTTTCGAGTTCAATAGGAGAAGAGAAAACGATTTTTCTTCGAACAGGAAGACTTATGAATAATAATTTCGCTTGAATATTATGAGTTTATTTCATGCAGCAAATTTTTTCCAAGACCTGCTTTCATATAGCCCTGCTGTGAACTCGTGTCGAACTTAAGAAAAACTAGTACTTAAGCATACGTCCATGACGAAGAATAAATTGTGGAACGCGATACACTGATACACCCACCACTTAACTGCTGGGGTTCATAGATATTAACTCCATGTCTGCATCAAGGAGGAACTTTTTCTTACACTTATATCATGACAGACAATTTGATTTTACGAGATAGAAATAAACACAGATTTGCCTGCGCATGAATTACAAAAATGCCACCTCAAATATTTTCAATTTTTGAAATAACGTGGGGGATATTCTACTCGAGGCACCATCTTACACTTATCTTACACTTATATCATGACAGAAAATTTGATTTTACGAGATAGAAATAAACACAGATTTGCCTGCGCATGAATTACAAAAATGCCATCTCAAATATTTTCAATTTTTGAAATAACGTGGGGGATATTCTGCTCGAGGCAAATTATGTTTCTGGTTTGCAAAAATATCCAATAACAGCCAGGTGATGGATAACCTTTTTATAAATTCATATTCAGTTTGAAAAATATAAGCATGATAAATCTTCGATCAGTAGAGGTTGCGCGAGACTAACTCCCAATCCTTTCTCTATGCCTTTGCGCTAGTGGATCCGTATGCATGTAATGCAAGGATGCTGTAGCAGGAATAAAATACCATAATATGCAATTCAAGAGTCCTGCTGGCTATCAAGATCTGAGCCTAGAACACATTGATAAATGTTCTAGTGAAACTTATTGTGAAATCAAGCACGCCGCTGAACAATTATTCCATGCTGAGAACCGATTGCATTTTTTTATTTCGCAATCTGTTTCTGAATATCAATAATTGTTTTTTCATTGTTTGCTCACAATTAATTTCAAACAAATTTATTTATTGCCATATTTAAACTGCATGATTGCTCTTTTCTTGTCATTGTTGTAAACTGCTTGTCTGAGGAAGTCTGATTTTGGTCAGACGAAACGTTACAGAAATATATTTGTGTTAGTGTGCAGCAGGACTCTTGAATTGCATATTATGATAAATCTTGTTGAACAAATAGTTCTATCTCTCAAAATAAAAACCTTTAATAGCGTTTCTGATACATACATGGCAAATTGCATGGATCACCGCGAATGCGATTTGTAGCACTTAATCACACATGTTGTGTTAACTGTTTTAATTTGCCTTACTAATCAAATGCGGGTAGTTCAGCAGTTATTTCATTCTGAAAGTTTAATTAATCATAGAAAGATCCACTATGAAATTAAAAAAACATGCATGGTGGTATTCATACAGTGCTGTTGAGATAGCAAAAGACTTTTATGAAAGATAACATTGGAATAAAATCACATTTTTGTTCCATAGAAAAACATCTTCATACCTATCACGGCTGAAAAGCAAAATGTAAAGTCAATCAGCCTCGCTCAATCGAATACTAAAATGCTGACTTGTCTTGATTGCAGACAAACGTGATTTTGTTCTATATGACCCGATTGCTTTGGCGAAAGGGGTCTATCCAACGAATTTTTACCGATACCTGTGAAGGTTTGTTGTTCGAAAACATCAACCCGCTGACCTGATATTGCATCAGTATTGAGCACCGTGTGTTTTCGGGTACGTTAGTGTGTGGATTTGTTAAAAAAAAATGTTTCCAAACAACAGTTCAAAAAATTGAAATACGGCCGAATAAATGAATTTATATAAGCTTAAAAAACTTTACCCGTCTAACCTTAAAAACAAGAGTTGGTAGGCCATATAGCTACATATACTTATTCATCTAAGCAACAAAGTATGTAAGCATTAATATATATGCCACGAAAAACGGGTTTCCTGGAACCACGGCGTTTGTACGTACGTATCTTATTTGAATTTAAAGTTTTGGTAATTTTGCAAATTAAAACTGTAGTTGTAGTGTTATACATCATAGACTCGAAATCCATTTTTATGGATTTCCGCCTTGGTTCAAACACCTTGTCCGCCACTGGCTCAGGGTGTCTCATCGCCATAGTCCGGCTCTGATTCGAACCTACGTAAGTTGCCGCCAATCTAATTATATTTTGCAATATAATATTAAAACGCAATTGTTTTGCCAAATTTAGGCAGTGAGCGGGCAGCTGATATAACTGCTTTGGGATTGTAGTATACACTTCAGCTATGTTGCAACCAATGTTCTGCGAAAACCTGTCTCTATGACACGAGGTATTTTGCGAAAACAATCATCAAAATGTGATTCTTTCGGCAAAAAAATGGAAGGAGAGGTTTGCACTGCAATTCATCTTAAGAGTGCACCGAGTTGTGCTTGGTTCAATGGGGTATTCAAATTCAACCAATGATGAATCTTCATCATATATAAAGAAAAACATTTTCTAGCATTGAGATATGTTTTTCTTAACATGTGCTGCTGTCTAGTTATTTATATTTTGTAATTATTCGAGCAAACAAGCAAAAATATATATTATTATATTCTCCAAATATTTAGCAAGAGGCAACATTTTGATTTTTGGAAATGTGAGAAAATATATTGAGGCTTTAAAACAGAAATGATATGTTTAAAGTGCATTCTGTAATCTTAATATAGATCAATGTATAGAGGGATAAAAACATTCGTCTGTCGAACATACTCGTATGATACATAATCTGTCGATTAAAAGGAAATACGTCTGCACCCATCTCTGAGCAAATTGAATGTTCAAATCCAAAATTCCAATTCGACTATTGCTATAAACCTGAATATAATAAGCTGTACAAGTAATATATTCGCTACCGCAAAATAAGTCGTCCTTTCCTTATAACTCATCCATAGACATACTATTTGTCAAATATCATACTGGCACAACTGTTTGTATAAATCCTAATAGAAACTATCTAAGCGCTTCATAATTCTAAGACATGTTGCGAAAATTACTTCTATCGGTTCTGTTTATGGCTGCTGTAATGTCTGTGGTACCTGCTTTTGAAGGTGTAATCTTCTTACACGGTATGCATACATGTATTTATTTATTTAATCCGAGATATTTTGATAAAACCTTCTATTTTCAGCAATTGATATGATTCCAAACTCGACGTCATTTAGAACTTATCTAAGTATCCATAGAAGCACTTAGATTCAATTTACTCAATTATTGAATATACTGAATAGTATTTTTTCACTTTTTTGCAACTCATTTTCATACGAAATCTCGCAGAATATTGCAACCACGACAGTGACTGTAAATCGGGAGAGTTATGCGGCATTAGTTGCGTCAATGGCTGTAAAATTGATTGTGTAGATGCTGATGACTACTTCAATGGCGAAGCGGTGAAATAAGAAAACGTAAGTGAGCAATTCTTATAAACTATAATAAAAAAATAAAAAAACAGTTGCAGCAACTTTCGTAGTTTTCAGAAACATCACAATGGGCGGCAGCGATCAATCAGCGTCAAACATCGTGAAAGAATCAATATAGAGATAAAGAACTTTATTTTCGATTTGTTGTTAATGAAATAATGAAATATTCAGAAAAATCAAATTTGATTACTTCGTATACACTGTATTCGGAGCATTTTGATGGAAAATTCAGATTCATAAAACAATTCTTTGAGACTTATATGTAAGTAGACCTGTGTAATGCTTTCATGGCTTTTCAACAGTTTGGCCAAATTCTTTGTTGGAAACAAAGACCTTTTGTGCTTTTTTGAAAAGAACGGACGGGGAGCTCACATTCTAGTCTAGTGGTGACCAAACACTGCCCCATGCGCCACAGTGGTGTGTCACAATGTCAGTAATACAGTGGTGTAGCCGCCTTAGTCCCATATTTGCTAATATGTATATCACAACAATCCAATGACTAAACTATAACAAATCGAGCGAACTAATATATTTATTTCAACTTGCAAGGCTACTTATACTAAAAATAAGGGATATATCATAAAATATGAAATATTATATAATATAATTTAAAAATATGAAACCTTTTTACTAAATATTGCATCATGATTGGAAACCTTGTGTTATGGGGTACATAAATATATATGATGAAAGGAAGAATATTCGACTGGCTAGGTATTCACTGTTCGTGTCATTCAGCAAAATAATCGTACACATGGGGTCTACAATTTAAAGTAGTAATGTTTCTCGTGATTTCAAAATTGTTATTACCGAAATAGTTTTGGCCCTGTCTCTATACAATTGCATCGTACATTGCCCAATATTAAGGATAAACTATTCTAGAAATATAATCAACATAGTGGTAATGGCTAAGCGGTGATGCGCAATGTGCTAAGCGTTAGAAATACGCTTGTCAGTGCACCCCTGATTGCCTTGCGTGGGTTCGCATGTTCGACCTCCTATGCGGGAATAGTTATGTGCTTGAGGATTGCTGGACTCCTCGGCGTCGTAGGGTGGTTGACAGGCTTGTCCATGGATAATACCCGTGGGATGGGATGGGACAGCTCAAATTTGTATTTCCCATGGGACACGAAATACCTTACGATTTTGAGTGAATTAATGGTAAAACGTTTTGTTATTGACTTCGTGTTCATATATTTGAGCACGAATATCTTGCTAGTTATAAAGAGCAAATATATTCAGTATTAACAATATATTTTGTGAAGGGGCTGATAGACGCATATTTAATAGTTCTGAATTTGATATTGACGAAATCAATAAATTTTGTTGTTTTGCATGTCTCTTTACACATATAGTCCTATTTAGTAGACGCTAAACCTAAATTTAACAATTTTCATTAAATTGTATGTCAATGGGAATCCTATCGGATGAGACATGCATAAATTGCCTGGGAATTGGATGGAACAGAAAAATATATCTCATGAATGAGCCTGGTGGATAACGTAACAGCTGACCGGTTACCGGTTACATGCTTCCAAAAACAAATACCTGACTAACTACCGTGTTCCCTAGCCTAGACCTATCCTAAATTTTGAGAATTATTTTAGCATAAGCCCTCCCCTAAAATAAGACCTAGTCGATAGCGCGAAATTTTGTTCGACCTAGTGGATAGCAAGATAGAAAATTCAGTTGAATGAAATTTTTAATAAAAGTTATGAATTTAGTGACTTGCAAGACGTTCCAGAGGATTATGATAAGATAATTATTGAATAATCTACGGTTAGCAGTTTTTTTTTAAATAAAAACGTGTTCTTTCTAAATAAATTGATATCGGTTTTCATATTTTTTATATTTGAAAATATCCCAATTCTGTAGTTTGTAATTTTGTTTTTATTGAGTGAAAATAAATGACATCTTCCATAAATAAGCCCTAGTGGTATTTTCGGAAAGATAATTAAAATAAGACCCTGTCTTATTTTCGGGGAAACACGGTAATCTTATATCCGACGTGGAATGGTAACCAGACGAGAAGCTGTAGTTTGTCATATAATTAAGCCGTCTTATCGGCTTTCCTTTCCCCGGGAATAAATACGTAAATCCTATCCTAATGCAGTAAGGTTGGGCTTCAAAGCTGTAATCGTACTTGGAATATGCGTATTCAATCAATCATATACACGGGCTGCCAAGTTGGAAACGACAAATGAAATAAACAATGCTAATTCATTTAACAGCGTTTAACTGCTTGCTACAAAGTTAATGACCTGAAATAATTATCCAAAAGTGGATGTCTTGGATGGATATGAATTGGCGTGCCTCGTGTATGAATGGGCAACAAAATTTCAACTTTTTTCTACTATCTATTCACATTAGCTTAATAATTTACACGTTGAGATTCTGGATGTCTCTAAAGAAAACTTTACTGCTTATTCTACAATACTGACTTCTTCGTCCAAGGTTGGAAAATCTTCTTCATCTTGGAAGGATTTTATAGCTTCTCCAGAGGATTCGGAACCTTCGCTCAGTTTATTTTGAAGACATCCGGTCGCCTACGTTCTTCTGAAATCCGCCTGTTTCCCCTTGGCGTAATGCTCAACTATCAAAATTGAAGTCTAAAGTTTGCTTGCTTCTTCGCTTATTTCAAGTTGAGACATTTCATTTTGAAGATCTAAAAAGGGATATTATGAAATAGAATTGTTAGATGAATAAGCATATGTAGCTATAGGGCCTAGCAATTTTGTTTTATAAAATAAAGTCATTATTACGGTAAGAACTGTTTAGTTAATTTAAATTAGATATCCCGGTTTTCAAGGTTAAGGGTAAGGTTTTTCAAACTTATACAAATCATTTATTCTGCCGTCTTTCAATTTATTCAAACAATTGTATAGAAACAAATTTCCACTCTTACCTACCCAAAAACACACGATTTTCAATCCTGGTGAGATACGAGGTCAGAGGTTTAATGTTTCCGAACAACAAATTGTAAAAACTCGACCTTCAAAATTAACCAAAAATGTCATGAACACAAAATGTAATCAAAGGAATAAAATTAGGACAAAAGTAGGCGGTGCAGAAAAGGACAATCCAATTTAATGAGAAATTTGCTGCTGTCTTCTATTATATATTAAACGTGTTAAACGCTCTTCTAATAAAGTTTCTGCAAGGCGAGGGAGAGCTGTTTGAACTGGATAATATTTTGCTGTTTGTTTGCCTCTATTTTATTACTAAACCTCGCTAAATTATAGACCTACTGTCAAATTACGGAACGTGCAAACTGAGTATTTTTCAATCAGGTACCGTGCTATGTAGAGTTGGGACCCCGGGAAATCTCGATCCCGAAGTCCCGGGTTTGGACTGTTTTTCTCAATCCCGATTCCGCAACTATTTCCTGAAAATCTCGGGATTTTAATGATTTGTTATTCACATATAGATATTCTCACAAATTGTAGGTTATACCAATTTATTTAATACTTATTTTGAAAATAAGCCATCCACGCTTACAGTTTGAGTCAGTCAGACTAAGTGGAATTATTGTGCGAAATTTTACCAAAGAATTAGTATTTGACTAGTAGAATTGCCATTATTGGCAACAAATTAATCATAATTTGAACTCAAAACCGTATTTAGGACTTACGCAATGACTTTGCAGGGTTTTTATTCACTATTTGAATACGAAAATAAAATAGCCACAATAGAAAAGTAAGATCAAGAATGTCAACTATCGTCTTCAAAAATATCCACATTCCGGCGTCAGAAATGATAATATTTTTAGCTTAAAATTAAGACAGTTAATTTTAAAACTGTAACAAAAAGATCAAAGCCGACCCAAAAAATGAAAATCGGAATAAATTCGCCAATTCAAACCGATATTCGACAATTCGTTAAAATTATTCGATTCGATGAAAATATACTATTTTGCCCACGCGATCTGTAATCACGCCAGCAATCTGGCGAAACGCGTGGCAGTCCAAAACTGATGCAATGAAACTGAAGCAAACCTTTATAAATTTAGTAAATTGCACTACTTCACAAAAGCGTGGTTGAATTGACGATTATTTAATATGTCGAACACAAAAACGGTTATCTTTTTCGGATAGTTACTGCAGTCTGAAAAGTCGAATAAGCGTTTCGAAATAGTAAATGCTATGATCTTTGTCATCAAATTATGCTCGTGCCTTGCACGAAATTCATAACGTGAAAAGATACGTCCAGCGGTCAAAATTGTTTATAACAACGTTAAACCTATTTAGTATTTTTAGCGATATAATTAATTGTTGTAATGAAATTCAGTTTGTTTGCCTTTTTCCTTTCTCAGTGGTGCACAGTAACGCAAAAAAAAGGGCACAAGAGGAAGCACGTATGAAAAAAATTGAAGTAACCAAGATAAACGGCAAATTTTAAGTCACCATTGCCTTTTAATAGCGACATGTTGTGCTCTTTGACGAAATAAAAAAGCCTTGTTTCAGCTTATGTCCGAGAGTTTTTATGGTCATTTCCACGAAATATTTTTGCGGTTCCGCGATATAAAAGATTGGGGACCACTGCCCTAGATGCTATAATATTCTTTATGTGTCGATATTACATGAAATAAATACGTGATTTTATTGGCATGCAAGTTATTTAAATCTTTTACTTAATCACGAGATTATACGGCTTAATACCGGGATTTCAAAAACTCGCTCCGAAATCCCAACCCCACTAGGGTTTCTATCAAACTCCTCCGTTATGACGTTAGCTGCCGTTATCATGATGTCATAGACTTAACGAACATCCAGCCTACGAATCGATAAGAGTTAAAAAAATCATAAAATTAATGGACATGCCGTCAATACTTCAATACTGTTTTTTGCAATTTGCTTATAATATATTTATTTTGAAATATATTTGGCGGACCGCCAGCAAGGCTGCCGCGGACCGGCGGTTGAGAACCACTGGAATAGACCATTTCCGCCAAAGTAATCCAGTAATATCAAAAACAAAATCCCATTTGTCTACACGAGTCAGCAAACATTCGATTGAGTGAGGCTGATTGACTACTCATTTTGCTTTCCAGTCGTGATAGGTATGAAGATGTTTTTCTAAGGAACAAAAATATGTTTTTATTCCAATGTTACATTTCATAAAAGTCTTTTGCTGTCTCAACAGCATT